TCCTTAATGTTGGACATAAAGAAAACAAAAATAATGACCATTGAGGACCTTCCCAAGTTCAATCCAGTCAATAAAGAAATAGAAATAGCAAAAGAATTCCCATCCCTTGGATCAAACATTGATAGAAATGGGGACTGCAGTCAGGAAATCAGAAGAAGATTAAAAATGGGAAGGGTGGCTATGAAAGAACTAGAAAAGATTCTAAAATGCAAAGATATACAACTCAACACAAAAGTTAGAATCATACAAATCATTGTATTCCCTATTACCATGGATGGATGTGAGAGCTGGACAGTCAAGAAAGATGATAAAAAGAAAATCAATGCATTTAAAATGTGGTGCTGGAAAAAAGTGCTGAAGATCCCATGGGCAGCCAAAAGGACAAACAAATGGGTCCTAGAGCAGATCATGCTGGAAACTTCCCTGGAAGCCAAGATGACCAAACTGAGCTTGTACTTTGGACACATCATGAGGAGGGAGGACTCTTTGGAAAAAACAATGATGCTGGGGAAGGTGGAGGGAAATAGGAAAAAGGAAAGCCACATGCCACATGGCAGATTGATGGACTCTATTAAGGAGGTCACATGTGTGGTGTTGCAGGAATTAAGCAGAGCAGTGGAGAAGAGAGGGTCTTGGAGAGGTCTCATCCATAGGGCCGCCATGATTCGAGATCGACTCAAGGACAATTAACAACAATAAAAATGCCAAAGGTGTTATTTTCCCATTTTAGTCCAAGTTTAACAACTTGTGATGAAGTCCTAAGTCTCCAGATTTTAGAACAGTCTGACATATTTCTAGAAAATGCTACCCAACTCTTTCTGGGCTTTCCTATGGCTCAGACTGAGCAATCACTCATTAACCATGTTGAGTCTATGCAGGAAAAAAACGATTTATAATGCAAGAAATAAGCAAGCCAACTAAAATGGTGCTGTAAACACATTCATGATCTCTTTATATATTTAAGAGCTGGGTTTTCTGTCCTTAATACAAAGTCTCAGAATGGCTGCTCTGAAGATTCATTTTCTGCTTAATAGTCAACATAAAAATTTTAACAGTCACTTGAGAAAAAGCGTGATGGTCTGCTAAAGGAGAATCTGATGAAGTGCAAACCAATATAATGATCTTCCAATAATGTGATCATCACCATAGGACTATAAACTGCCTCCTCTTCCTGCTTCTTGTTCTTTCCTCTATATTCCAAGTATAGGGTTCACTAGCTGGAGGTAATCCATATGGTGGCACCTGAATTCCATGTGGGACAGTGAAATTGCTCTGAGCTTTCATCTGAACCCTGATCTCCTGAATGTGCAGAATATTGTTGTTACTAACTGTCTTCACTTTAGCTTCAACTTATGCTGATCCTATAAAGACCTCCAAGATGCCATTCCAGCTTCTAAAGACCTCCAAAGATGGAGAGTCCACCAGAGGTAATCTATTCCACTGTCAAAACACTCTTACAACAAAAGAAGTTCCTCCTAATGTTAGGTGGGATCTCTTTTTCTGTAATGTGAATCCATTGATTCTTGTTCTAGTCTCTGGAGCAGCAGAAAACAAGCTTGCTCCATCTTCAATATGACATCCCTTCACATATTTAAAAATAGCTATCATGTCACTTCTCAGTCTTCTTTTCTCAAAGCTAAACATGCCCAGCTCCCTAAGTCATTCCTCATAAGGCTTAATTTCCAAACCTTTGACCAACTTGATCACCCATTTCTGGATTCATTCCAGCTTGTCAATATCCTTCTTCATCTGTGGTGCCCTGAATTGGATCCAGAACTGCAGTGGCTTTTATTTATTTTTATTTATTTATTTTTATTTTTATTTTTTTGCTTCTGTGCCACACCATTGACTCATGTCTAGTTTGATATCTACTAAGAACCCTCTATTCTTCCCCCCATATGTTTATACCCCTTAGTTTAATATATATTTATACATATTTATAATGAAATATTTATATTGTATTTTAATTACATTTGTATCCCACTTTTTTATATTTATACCCTCTTTTCTCCTTTTCCCCTAACAAGGGATTTTAAGAGTTTACAATTTTAAATTTTATTTTTTAAAAAATGCAGCTAAAAATCTTATTTTAAAAAGTTTTAAAACCACAATTGAACAAGCAATTCTATTTTTTAAAAGCACATTGTTAAAACAGTCTAAAACACATTAAAACATAATTGGAAGATGAAAAGATAAAAACACAGCACATTACATTCAAAACACTCTTCTGCCTCAGAATTTAAGCACCAAAAGGCATGCCTAAATAAAAAGTTGTCTGCCTGCAGGCCTGCCCTGTCTCTCTGTCTCTCTCTTACTACCACCAACTTTTCCATGGTCCCCACCACCACAACCCACATGATCCTAAGTGAAGAACCCCAGGAGATTACTGTGGATCTAGAACCTGCTAGTTCCATGGGTTGTGTTTTTGAACCATAGCTACAGACTCAGAATGGTGGACCAAACACCAGGACTGATCTTCCTAAGCAGAAATGAGCAAATGTAGGACAGATCTTCCTAAAGCAGGGATGAGCAACTGTAGTAGGTCTAGAGGGGCTACTTTTAGAGCTTTGGGATGCTCCAGGGGCTAGCTGAACTGACAAAAGGTAAGAAGTGCTCCTTATAACGCCCAGGTCTTCTTTAGATATTGTTTGCAATATAATTTCACCATACCATCCTTGGACTCAAAGCCCAGGTCTTCTTTAGATATTGTTTGCAATATAATTTCACCATACCATCCTTGGACTCAGTTTCTAGCACTTCCTTTCCTGTCCTAGGTGAACTTTTTAAAAAAAAATACTTTACATTTACACTTCACTGTTTAAGATTAAAAGGTTTCCAGATTGGCTAACATTTTAATCATCACATTACGCCAACAAATCAGGCTGTTGAAACCATTAGCACTGCACTTACAGCTCCATTAAACTAGGAGAACAGAAAAGTCAGCACTAGATGTTGACACTGATGCTAGCACAATCAAAGCAC